ATATGGGTAATGTAATTACAATTTTCATACCATCTTTCTGCATATTTTTCAGAGCCAAAACAATCAGTCAACCACGTAATGAAGCTGATTATGCTTATTAGTTGAATTAGGAGGAAAACCCTGAAAAATATAGAGAAAATTAAAACTTTCATAGATCAGTTCAAGACAAAAATATACTGCAATCATTTAGTTGAGGTAAAAAATAGACATACCCGGCACCAAAATGTGCAATCTCACCTGCCCCAAAAGAAATAACAGAATGAATATAAGCAGCATTTTTTTATATCAAATAGGAAGCATTAACACTTGAAGGTTTTTTCAGAGACACAATTTACCAACCATAGAGCTCAATCAACTCAGAAGGGAGTAAAAATGGGAATATTGTCACAAGGATCAACAGAACAGTCTTGACTATCCACCATCCTGAGTGCCATTCATCTCTGCCTTCCTTCAATTTAGAAGTACCAGCAGTTGACCAGAACATTATCATATAAAACAACTGATCAAGATTTAAGGTTCAAAAACTTAGCATAAATTTTGATTAATGATTGTCCAGACCAGATTTCTTGCATATAAGCATTGAAACTTGAAAAGGATACAAAGCAACCCATGCTCACACGTAGAACACCATCTGCACCCAAACAGTCTTTTCCAACCTTGCATCCCTTTACACCTGAAGGTTCAATATATGTTAGAATTCAAGCTGCTGGTGCCATAACAACATAATGCTAATAATTCATTTAATGTGGTGTTGTTGTTAAGCACAGTGACATTTATTGAAAGTCTCTAACTAAAAACTAATTCAAATTTCAAAGTTTTCGTTCACTTTTCCTTTTTTAACGAGTCCATGCAAACTGTTCTAGTCTAAGAGTCCATGTAATTGCTGTCACATACATTCACAGTATTTGCCTAGAGTTTCTTGTAATGTCAAGATTTGTGATGAGAAAAATGACACCTTGAAAACAGCTTAAAACCCTCCACGTGTTAGAAAAGAAAACAATCTTTCTACCATACACATGGCATGGACATGGCCAAAATTTGAAAGTAGCAACCAAAAATTAAATGTGATGGTGATGGAATGTGAAAGCTCATGAAGGATTGAAGCAATCTCACCCTTCAGTTGAGTTAAAGCAGTAAGGCTAGAAAGTTCATCACGTGCAGCCCATGCCAACAGATTGGCCACTAGGAAGATCAAAGCATACACATATCTTGCCAACCAAGGGTTTGAAACATTTCTGAATTGACTATACCATGAAGAAACCTTCGACACTTCACACCTTTGGTTACTGCTGTTGCTTTCCCCTGTCTCCATCTTCTATCTAATTTTCAACAAATCAATGCAACACAGTGTGCATGAATGGATCACAGAGACAAAATTTGATCCACACACTCCAATCAATATCTTCTAATCTTCTCCCCTGCACTGCAATGCATCAAAAGACTAAATGAAAATTCATCACATTCATCTAGGCCTCGAATGAAACAGAACAAACAGTTAAATAAGAACCAACGATTATCCTTCATTAACCCTGAGAATAATAGTCGTTATAGTTGGTCCTACTTGTCATAGATTATTTTCAAGCTCTGCATTATCTTACCTATCATCATAGACTAAATACTAAACCCCAAAATTTCTGGTATGCCTACCATATCATTGAAATTCCCTTTATATAACTGAGAAAAATAGTCTAACCCTGAAAAAAAAAATTCAATAGAACATTCCTTGGTTCTATAAAGTCTTACCTGCACTACATCGAATTAGAAACCTCCACCTTGTTGAAGTGGAAAACAGCATGTTTCACGAAAGCAGTGTTTTTTAAAGTTCGAAAACAAGAAAAAAATTATCTTCGGATTGTCATTTTAACCCCACCTTCTTAAGTGGCTAAAGTTTAGGTTTTTCTTTTTCTTTTTTCGATTTTTATCAAAAAGAAAGGGAAAGAACTTTTTCACGTCATTTGCTGTAACTATCTTGATATTGGGTTTCCCTTCGCAGTGTTAAGGAGATGTTTTGGATAAAAGAAATCAAGAGAGGGAGAAAAGAAAAGTGTAAAATTACCTTTTCATGAA